GGATGGCCCAACTTCCGGCCGCCGTGGCCGTCCACGGCGGCCGGGAAATTCCCAACATACTTTTCCCGGCGGACCGTCTGCTGGACAGCCGTTCGGACAGCTGGGTCCGCTGCAGGGCACTGCATCCTTTCCAGCCTGTACCCGGCCTAGTTACTTGTGGCGCCAAATGATGACTGCCAACACAAAATTTAGGTCGGATTTCAAAGCACAACAGGGAGGTATTTGAAGAAAGAAGCTCAAGAGAAGGCCAGCAATGGCGCTTGCCAGTGCTACAGCAGGTGCTGGGGCACCCCCAGCTGCAGAGCAGGGTAAGCGGAGTCCTCCCATTTTCTGGTCAGAGAAGACCGAGGAGAGATTCATCCAATTGTGGGGTACAGAGCATGTGAGGCTTGAGCAGGGCAACTTTGCAAAGCACAACTGGGAGAAGCTTTGCGAGGAAATCAATGCAGAACCAGACGAAGGGCAGCCTCAGTACATTGTGAAGCACTGTAAAAATAAAATAGATGGGCTGAAGAAGAGGTATCAAGCAGAGCTAGACAAAAAGAATGGGACGGGGTCGGTGAATAGCCAATGGGTCCACTTTGAGCGCATCGGTCCTTTCTTGAGGAAGCTTCCTAAGATTGCAGGCATCCCTGGGGCTTGCGACAGTGACGCCAGGGTGCCTTCAGCAGCTGCCAAGACTGCAGCCAGAGGGTGGACCGACGAGGAGCGAGAATATTGGGCACAGGGGGATGGGACGGAAGGAGAGGCGCAAGCAGCGGAGAGAAGTGCTGCCAGCCAGGAGCAGGGTGGCGGCGGGGAGAGCAGCTCCCCGCCAGTTGCTGAGAAGCCAGAGGGAAGCAATCCTTGCAAGCCTGATGGGAAGGAGGCCGATGTGGTAGAGTTGAGCCCCACGGGAAAGTTCAATCAGAAGCCGGGAGTAAATGGCCAGAGCAACAGTCTAAGAAAGAGAAAGAGGGACAGAGGTTCTGCCGGGACTGCTATGGCAAAGAGCATTGATAACTTCGCCAAGATTTATTCTGAGGTTGCGATGAAGGCAATAGAGATTGAGCAGGCGATGGCGCAAAAAAAAGTTGAATCAGACGCGCAGATTGCACAGAAGAAAACAGAGTTAGACTTGCAATTGGCAAAGATGCATATGGATCTCAAGATGGAGATCGAGAAGATGAGGCGCGGTTTGTAATACATCAATGCATTCAGGTGAGAAGTTTTTAACAAGGGTTTCTTTGTTCTAGTCAATGTTTCTGCTTATCAGATCTCTCAATAGCGCGCTACGGACATCCTGGCCTATTCTCTTGCTGGCGTACTCAGAGTTCTGTGGGGGAATCCGCTGCTGGTTCAAATCATTGGGGTGCGCATCCACTACGTCTTCGCCATCTCCTGGTTCACCAGCTGTTTGGCAAATGTTATGCAACACGGCGCAAGCTACTGCAACCTTGGGTGCCTGGTCAAGAGCGACGTTAAGGTTCTTCAAAATCTGCCATCTGTTTTTCAGAATTCCGAAAGCATTTTCTATCTTGACTCTTCCTTTCCTGAACTGCTTGTCAAAGAGGTTCTGATCTGGACTGCCTGTGGCCCGGTTGTTGAATGCCTTAAGAAGGAAAGACATCAACGGGTATGCGCTATCGCCAATAATGAAAGGTTTCACATCTTTCCCCTCTATCCTGACGACTGGCTCCTCTAACACCTGCCCTCCTCTCATTTGCTTCCAGATGGTAGAGCTTCGCAAGTGAGTGGCGTCATGGCAGCCCCCTGGTTGTTTAGCGCACACGCTCCAGAACACTTTGTTGTGATCACAAATCCCTTGCAATAGGATTGAGTGAATATCGTGCCTACACCAATAATCTGCCGGTACGGCCCAAAACGGAGGCTTCCGGTACAACTTGATGTGAGACCCATCTACAGCGCCGCACATATTGTCTATGCCTGTTCCAGATCTGAAATCCGCTATGATACGCTTCAATCTGGTACCTGATGGAATCTGGATGTGCTTGAGAAGAAGTTTATCCGGATCTGAAAGTGTATCAACTATAAGGTTTGTATATTTGATTACTGTGCTGCCACCAACTCCATAAAAGCGTCCAACATGTTTTGGAGCATGCCCATGTGCCAGCCTGTATAATACAAACGCTACAGCTTTTTCCACTGGGATTGCCTTTCTCCAACGCGTGTCTTGTTGCTCTATATATGGCCGGAGCTCTTCGACGAGCTCTTCAAATGTCATGTATGACATTCTGTAATTCTCAATCCACTTCTCGTCTAGCAAAGCTGGGCTGAGCTTCCAGATCTCCATCTGGATAACATCCCACTCTGTCTGCTGCTTTGGAAATACCCACCAGTCTCGACCTCCGCCCATCATGTTGCTAGCTTCCTCAACATAACCGGCGGTCGCCACCATAATTACCATCATTGCCGCTCCTAGATCCATAACCTTCTTGAGCAATTTCATGGTTGCAAGCAGCTAAGGCGTCTTACAAGCAGCGGTTGATCTCGATAGAATAAGACTTGATGAGAGATGAAAGATGAATACCGTTCCCATTAAA